GAAGAGTGGTTACAGCAGATCCCTGGAAATACATCAGAGGTCTCGGTCCAGAAGAGTACAGTTCTAGGAACAGCAAAGATACTGCGCAGAACCCTCCCAGGACCTGAGCTTGGAGGTAAAAAAGGGGCGGAAGACCGCCGACCACCCGCAATGGGTGAGGAAGAGTTTTTTATATATATATATATATATATATATATATATATATATATGTTCTTCAATCTTTTTACTTTAGTTCCAGTCTGGGACTAATGTTAGCAGAACCTTCTAAGGGTGAAATGACACCTAGTCCAGCAAACCGGGGTTTGGTTTTTAGACTCTGCTGCTCTTTCTGTTCGTCCCTCCTTTGAAACATCATATTGCAACCTGATTGGTCGTTTAAGTGGGAGCAGAACCAGAGCTTAATGTTTAATAAAGGCCTTTATCCAAATCTAGGCTTTAAAAGCCTGGAGGTTTATTCAATTAGTATGAAAATTGGTGTGAAATCCTAACAAATTGTTTTTGGTCAGGTTCAAATTCAGGTTAAAAAAGATTTTTTAAAAAGAACAGTCAGAGCAATAATGAACGCAGATTAAAGGGGTATTATTTGAGCAACTAGTAAATGCAAAAAACACAACTCAATGTAGACTCTTAACATTCTAGGGCAAGTAGTCGAGGACAAAATTGTTGTAAACCCTTATGTTTAGCATAACCACCACAAAATAATCAAAATAAAATTGAGTTTACATGTAGAGATCTCAAAGTTTTAAAGCAAACATTTAATTAGTACATAAATTGGTGTGAAATCCTAACAGATTGTTTCGGTCAGGTTCAAATTCAGGTTAAAAAAGATTTTTTTCTAAAAAGGAACAGTCGGAGCAATAATGAACGCAGATTAAAGGATAAAATAAACCCAAACATTTAAATGAATCAGACTTCACACTCCTTAGACTGAAAGCACAGGATGATCATGAGAGGAACGCTGGTATCTGATCTCACTGCAGCTGAAAGACTTGAGCAGAAGCAGGGTGTAAATGTTCAGTGAGTGCATTAAGTCAGTGTTTATATTTTCAGTTCATTGACAGTAATTAGAAACAGTTTGATTCTTCAGCTAGAAGTGGCTGCACATGAATCCTGTCCCAGGTGAGCCTTCAGTCAGCTGCTGCTGCCTCTGCCTCCTCTTCCTCTTCCCCTGGAAACAGAAGAAGAAGCAGCGGATGTTTTCCTCCTAGCTTTCAGCGGTGCAGCTGTGGGAAGTGTTGCTGTACGTACGTAGTTGTCCCTGGCAGACCATCCAGGGTACAGCTGCATGTGGAGCTGCCGCTCCTTCTGGGCCAGCTCGTAATACTTGGACTGTTCAGAGGGAGACAGAGCGTGCCACTGGCAGACAGAGACAAACGCATCAGGCCAACCAGCCGCTGTGACATCACTATGACATCATCCGGAGTCTCACCCTGCGTCCCAGGATGCGGTTAATGGCGGAGCTCTCCTTCTCGTGTCCTTCCTGCAGCACCTGCTGTCTCATCTCCTTCATGTAGAGCATGAAGGCGTTCAGAGGCTTCTTCACCTTCACCGGAGATCTACAGGAGAAGTTATGAATTATGATGCTGCATTGGAAAAAATCAACATCT